CACACATTTTAAACTATTACATCTGAATCTGTCTTATTGTGAATCTATTGCTTTAAGCTGCAGCAGCTGTGGCTGCTGGCTCCGCCCACCTCAGCTTCCCAACATGGCGGCGGTACTGTAGTTTTTCGCCAGCTCTGGGAGCTATCATGGGTCTATGCTTTTATCCAAGCAGTGTGTAGCCCAGAAACCTCTTTTTTTGTTTTGTACTAGCAAAGGCTAAATCCATCATGCAGCTTAATGTGCCACTTGCAGAGGCCTCATTCCCGCCATACTGTAGGTCGAGTGCACATGCTAGGAACCCACAAGTAGCTCAAACCGGCAGCTGCCGCTCATTTGAGAGAGACAATTAGGAAGCTGTTTTTAGCTCCGTTTTAGAATCTTTTCTCAGTTTTTAGGTGGAAACTCTTGCCACCACGTTGGACGCCATTTGTAGGTAGAGTTTTCCTGCCTGGCCCACAGTCAGGACAAATCTCTCTCACCCACCAGTCCCACAACCACTCAAACCCAATCAAGTAAACACAGAGACTTATATTGGTTTCAAACTGTATGGCCGTGGCAGGCTTCTTGCTAACTGTTCTTACAGCTTAAATTAATCCATTTCTATTAATCTATACCTTGCCACGTGGCTTGTGGCTTACCGGTACTTTACATCTTCCTTGTCCTGATGGCGGCTGGCAGTGTCTCCCTGACTCAGCCTTCCACTTCCCAGCTCTATTCTCCTCCTTGTCCTGCCTTTACTTCCTGCCTGGCCACAGGCCAATCAGTGACAACTGATTGACCAATCAGCAACACATTTGACATACAGACCATCCCACAGCACCTAGGCCTTGCGGCTCCTCAGGCAGGATGGCCAGGAATGGCTCCAGCACCAGCAGCTCCAGGATCTGTTCTTTGGTGTGGGCCTCAGGCTGCAGCCACTGTCTGCAGAGCTCATGTAGCCAGCTCAGAGCTCTCCGAGGCCCAGGAGTCTCTTGGCCAGAAAAGCTGTTCCCTGGAAGATAACTTTCTTGGTCCCAGAGAGGACCTTCCTCTACCTTCACAATCTTAAGTACATCCTGTCCTGCTGTTGAAACTATTCTGGAATTCATTTAGAGGGCTCATAGCACTGTGAATTGAAAGAAAAATTATGATTGAAGACTCTTTGATTCAATCTTCTTAAGGAACTTTAACTTGACAACAGAATATTATATATCAATGGTAAATAAAAGTTATGAGAAACATACAATAAATAAAAACAATGAATAGAATTTATATTAGTAAAAAGTGGCCAGACATGGTGGCACAAGCCTTTAATCTCAGCATTTGAGAGGCAGAGGCAGCCAGATCTTTGAGATTTGAAGGCCAACCTCATCTACGTATCGAGTCCTGGCTGCCTCTGCCTCTCAAATGCTGGAATTAAAGGCTTATGCCACCATGTCTGGCCACTTTTAAAGTATATATAATCATTACTTATATATGTTTGGAGAAAGCATAAGATAAAATGCATATTAATGGTCTCAAGTCTCCATCCTTCCCTCTAGCCCTGTATTTGTAACACCCTCCAACCCTGAATTGTGACTCTGAGCTCAACCATGTGGCTATCGGCTCATGTGGTATTGGCAAGCCAGAGACTTGAAAAGCACTTGAGTGACTGGGGCTTGGTTTGCTTTTTCCCCTCTCACATCGTCCTAAGGTTATGCCTAGGCAAGTCTTCAGATGATATAAGACGTAAGAAGAGTTAAGTCACCCCACCAAAAATGATAGACTCTAGATGAGCTAAAAATGGAGAGGCTGATAAACACTGGGTAGGCCTAACTTAAGACCTGTAGAATTATGTGTCCACTCTGCAACTGACAGCAGACATAAAAATATGTCCTACCCATCCTTGTGCCCCAAGACCCAGTGCCATTTATTCCACCACACTGTCATAGCAACAGGTTACAGAAATACAGACGTGAGGATGCAGTGTAACTGTGGAACAAAAGAGGAAAATGGGTATACTTATCACTGCACAGTTTGTATATCTTTATCCTTTTTCTTGATTATTGTTAGGATTTGGAATAAATTATGTATTCCAAGGAGAGAGGGGAGGGGCTCAAAGTGTAGTGATTGAAATATCTGGTAATATATGGTCGCTTCAGGTAGAAGTAATGAAGGACAAAAAGAGGAGCTAAAAAATTCTCACCAGACAGGAAATGTTGAAAAAAATATGGATTAGAAGCAAGTACATTAGGATTAGTTTCAAATAATCAGAATTGCCTGGCCAGAAAAAGGCAAAAGAGGTGGAGCCACTGTCATGGACCAGACAACTGACATGAACAGAAGCATTTCAGGGTACACATCACGTCTCTAAGGACAGGCAGGTGACTTAGTTATAAAATGGAGTGAAAAAGTGGGTGTTATAGGAGGTAAAAAGATTCATTAGAGGGCCAGCAGATGTCACTAACAGAAGTGTCTGCCAGCACGCCTCACAACTGAATTAGATACTGAGAAATAGCCAGCTCCTAAAAGTGGTCCTCTGGTTCACTGGAGCACCAGAGTGTGTGCACACAAACACATGCATACCAGATTCAGTATACTGAAATAAAAAGCTAAACATTTTAGACCCTTGTGGAAAACTGCAGGGGGTGGGGAGCTGGGTATCATTTAAGTGGAATCCTTCAGTGCAAAAGGAGTGAACTACACATTTGGGCTGAAGATAGGAAGAGCACTGGAAACTGTTCAAAGGCCTTGCCACAGGCCAAAGGAACGACAGGAGGCTGGAATGTCTACAGCCAAGTCAGAAGAAAGTGGCAAAGCATTAGACTGGCAAGACACACTAAGAACATAGGAGCTTAAACTTTATAAATGATCAGGAAACTCTAAAGCAGTGGTTCTCAGCCTTCCTAATGCTGTGACCCTTTAATTCAGTTCCTCGTACTGTGGTGACCCCCAACCATAACATTATTTTCGTTGCTATTTCAGAACTGTAATTTTGCTACTGTTATGAATCATAATGTACATATTCTCGGAGATAGATAGATAGGTTTGCCAAAGAACCATTGATCTAAAGGCTTTCCAGAAGGAAAGTGACAAAACTGGATTGTGTCTTGAGAAGTTCTGTACTGAGTGGAAAAAATGAGAACAAAATCAAGAACAGAAGCCTGAAGGATGGTTTGAAGGATGGTTGGACGAAGGTAAGAATGGAGGCTATTGCACTTAATCTAGAAAGACTTCCACTTAGGGGAGACGTGGCCATGTGCAGTACAGGAATTTTGAAAAGCAGATACAGCTGAAAGGAGAAACAGGGTAACATTGGCAATGCAGTTGCCTCCTCCAACAGATGTCAGTGGATCTGGAACTAGCTTATAGTTCCTGGATACGGTTATAATACACTGAAAGAAAGGCTGGAATTTAGAAGGTGTATTCAAGGTATATTCCCGTAAGAACTACAAGTGTCCTTCCTAAATTTAATATTCAGTTTCTACAGATTACCTGTAATCCACAAAGAAGTCATTTCATAAGTATTTACTAAGTGCCTACTGTGTGTCAGGCAGTGAAACATTGCAGTTTGATGTGTTCACATTTTCCTCCTCCAGTGAACTAAAAACATGAGAGAAAGTATAAGAACTTTTTATTCATTAACTTTGGTATGCTTAGCAATAACAGAAAAACAGTAACGTCAACCACCTGTGTTGCAACGTAATTCCCAAAGGATACTGGGTCACAGTTACAAGGAAAGAGGAATAGCTCAAATACCACAAAGACTCAAGCAAATCTGTAAGCGGATAATTTACAGGAGAGCCAGTGGAGTCTCTTCAACAAGACGATGGATTGGGAAGAATGGAGGGGAGGGGTAGGGTTATAACTAAAAGAGATTTTAAAACCACATACACCAAGTGGCCTACAATTGCATTCTAGTTGGAACAAATCAATTGCAAAAGAAATCTTTGGGATGACTGTTGGGGGCAGAGGGAATTTGCGTGTAAACTGGGTGTTAAATAGTATTAGGGAATGCTTCTGCTCTTAATTGTGTCCGCTAATAATATGGTGATGTGGGAAAATGTCCTTCGGAATCCACTATGGCTCAACGGTTCTTGCAGAGAACCCTGTTCTCAGTATCCATGTGGCAGCTTACAAAATGTCCCTAACTCTAATACGGTACTCAGGGTACCTTACACCTTCTTCTGGCCTCCGTGGGCATCAGGCAGCACACACTGCCCATGCACACGTTCAGATGAAACATTCAAACACATACATAAAAATGAATAAATCTTTTTAAAAAAATACTGGGGGATGACATGTCGTGATACTTGCAGTTTATTGTACAGCAAAGAAAAGTATAAGAAACAAACGCTACCTCGTGTTAACATTTATGAAATAAGAGTGATGGTATGTATGGCTAGAGGTCTAGCTCACCGGTAGAATTGTCTCGCCGCTAGAATGGTGCTTAGCGTGTCCCTGGCTTCAATACCCAACATCATAAAACAAAATTAAGAGAGCTGGAGCTCGGCGGCAGGGTGCTTGCCTATGATAAGAGGATGGCCTGGATTCCACTCCTAGCACAATCAATTAACGCCTCTATCTGTCTCAGGGACCTCGGGACTGGGTTTGAGCAGGGAAGATCCAGACTACTCCGGATTTACCCCAGTCTCTGAGCCCCGAATCAGGGTCGAATGGCGCAGGAGAAACTGTTCCTTCATCCCTTTCCAAATAAGGGCTTTAAATCTCCTGGAAGCCTGAGATTCGGCAAAGCAGCCCAGACTCATCGTCCCAGCTCCGGAGCAGCTGACCGCCACAAAGACGGGAAGTGCGTCATTGGTCCTGAGGCCAGGCGCCGAGTAAGCCTTCCTTCCCTTTCTAAAAGCGGCTTTTCTCTGGGAATTACAAGACTTTCACGCCGCGGTGACCCGCAGCTACCAGGCTTGGGCCTCAGATCGCAGCCCCACTGTCGGAGGCTGACATCGAAGGGGCGCTGCTGTGGGCACGGAAACAAAAAGAGGACCGGAAGGGACTGCTGGTTCCCCACCTGTATCTCTTACCCTTTAGTTCCTGAGGCGAATCTGTCCCCAGCCTGGACTCCAGTTGACAGTGTGAAGAGAGGCGGCGAACGAAAACAAACTTGTTCCTCTTTGGGGTTTTGTTTGTTTGTTTTTGTTTTTTTTTTCTCCTAAATTCTTCTGTATTTCTCTTCTTGGAATCTCAAACTCTAGAAGAGTGTGTAGGCAAGTAACTGTGGAGGACTGACTTGCATTCGAAATGAATTAGAATAAATATTTGTAAGTCGATCAGAGGAGTAAATTCCGTGTGTGCCTAGCAGGTAGCGTAGAAACCGCCTTGCTGAAAAGTAGTCCTCACTGGACTCACGAGGTCACTTAATCCACGGTAAAAGCCTGCCATCTCTGCCTTCATTTCGTATGTCTATACATCAGTCCCTGCTCAACTCTGCAAATAGGTATGGTAATCATTTAAATAGGTTCCGTCTAAAACTTGATGATACTCATCCCCCATCAAGGTTGAAGCCACACATGTGAGAGTAATAGAAATACTTATGGCCAGCCTTTGCCATTTCTTATCCCGGATCCTGAAATGGCACCTGAAAGTCTTCAGTCATGGTCCTAAGTCTGCAGTCACGTGGACAACAGGGCAAGCAGGGCCCTACAAACAGATAATCCCATGAAAGTGTATGAGGGGATATTTCCTGGCTGACAGAAACAGGAAGCTGAACGGCCTGCTTTATAGCCAGAACGATGTAATGGTGTTTTGATGCAAGAACTGTTTGCACCAATAACAGGATGGTCCTTTTTTGGATCACCAGAGAAAGCGCTTGCCCTCTGCCTGGGTGAAAATGGCTACCAGAGTTCACCAAAGCGTGTGAAGCTTAAAAATTTGCTGCATTAACTAAAAGGTTACAGCTGAATAGTGCCTTCTGAACTGGAATTACGTTTTCACAGCAAGCAGCTAAAGTTGGAGTGTAGTTTCCTTAAGGCACCTTTGCAGAGCGTAAAGCAGGTGGATTTGGTGTTAGATCAGTCCTGCTGGCTGTGGCTAATAGTCCTTGCTCAGGGCAGCTACAGCTTTAATTAATGAAAATTAATTTAAATTGTGAAAACACTTTTTTTATATATATAATTAGTGAGTCAAATAGTCCCAACTTTGAAAATCTCCGCTTACTTAAAGAAAAAATTATTAAAAGAAGTGGTAATAATAAAGCCCTGTTGTTGAATTTTAATGGTGCTTTTGCAGTATTGGTAGTGATTTAACAATACTTCAAAGTCTTAAGCATTGTTTGGGGAAGTTAAGTCGTTTTTATCTACCACAGTATGTTGAGATACTTGATGCATCCAAAGAGTTGAGCAGTCTGCATGACTAGAAGGTAGAATCTGTGACAAAGAGCACCAACACTTACTTTCCCTGTATCCCTAACAGAGGAATCTGGGCAATATGATTAAATTTGCCCCTAGAAATGTCATTGCAGCAGTTTTGTAGGAGACAGACTCTAAGGAAGTAAGAATATGAGCAGGGAGATCAGTAAAGAGACTGCAATAGAATCCTCAATGAAAATAATGCGAGTGGGATCAGGGTAGTAACAACAGAAAGAGGGAACAGATAATATGGCAAAAGCTTAAACTGATGTATTTTCATTTTTGAAACAGAGTCTCATATAGTCTGACCTCAAACCCACTGTTCACCCTAGGATGGCCTTGAACTCCTGATCCTCCTGCTTCTGCCTCCCAAATGTGGGAATTACAAGTTTATGCCATTAATTTATTTTTAAGTTTTATTAGTTATTCAAAGTCTTTTCAATATACTATTATGCTAAAGATTTGTTCTTGGGCTGTATATAATAATCACAAACACAAGTCCCTCATTCTCATGTATGTTATAATACAAAATAAAATAAATAAATAAAATGCTATTTGGAAGATCATATGTATGGAAAATAAATCAAAATTATAAACATCAGTACCAAATGCAGAGTGGAAAAACCATGTCATATGTTTTAAACTTTGCAGACATCACAAGCAAAATCAGGAAATCAATAGTTTTATTATAAAAATCATGACACACATCTACAATATTTTTTCAGTATTTCTTTGACTTTATGCCCTTGGACCTCTTCTTTATATATGAAATTCCTTTTGATATCCTAGGCTGGCCTCAGACTCAATATGTAGCCAAAGATGACCTTGAATTCCTGCCTCTATCTCCCAAGTGCTGGGATTACTGACATGTGCCACTATGCTCTGTTTAGGTGGTGTTGGGGACTGAATCCAGGGCTCTGCACATGTTAAGGATGAACTCTACCTACTGAACTATGTCTTCAGCCTCTGTATATTAACTATTTTTTTTAGAAATTTCCAGAAATAGGTGATAGAGAGATGGCTCAATAGTTATCATTTACTCCTCTTGCCAAAGCCCTAGGTTTGGTTCTCAGCACCTACATGGCAGCTCTCAGCCACCCTTAACTCCAGTTGCAGGAGCTCCAACACCCTCTTCTGGCTTTCTCCAGTGCCAGGCATTCACATGATGAACAGACATACATGCAGGCAAAATACTCATACACATAAAAAAAAGTGAAAATAAAAAGGAAGAAGTCATTTACACTGGGTTTTACCCTTCAGGTGCTCACTATTTCTCCCTAAAGACTGTTTTCAACATTTTGCTTCAGCCTGATGTTCATGTAATCTCAACACGGAATATCCATATGTAAGAGAATAAAAACAGATCCTTATTGATGGTCTTGTACAAAAACCAACCCTAAATGAACCAAAGACCTTATTGGAAGGCCTGAAACTCTGAAACTTAGAGGGAAAAGTAAGAGAAATGCTTCATAGCAACGAATTTCTGAAGGTGACTCCGGTCTTCCAGGTATAAATGCCAACAATTCACAAATGGTGTCTAAAGAAATTAAAATGTGTCTTTACAGCAAAGGAATTTAAATGAGTAAAAAGACAGCCTACAGAATGGGAGAAAAATCTTCATTAGCTATATCATTGACAAGATTAATATCGAGAATATGCAAAGAATTCGAGAAACTACATCTAACAACCCAATCAATAAATAAGCTAGTGAAATCAACAGTTTTTAACAAGTGAAATAGAAATGTCCAATAAACAAATGAAAACTCAACCTTGCTAGACATCAGAAAATACAAATTAAAACTAGAATGAGATTCCATTTTACTCCAGTCAGAATGACATTAAGAAAAAACAACAACAACAAATACTGGTGAGGATGCTGAAAAAAACAGACCTTAATCACTGCTGGTGGAAATGAAAACCAGTCCAGCCACTATGGAAACCAGTATGGAGGTTCTCCAGAAAGTTATACACAGATGTACCATATGACCCAGTTATACCATTCTATTATCCAAATGACTCCAGCTCAATATAACACAAAGATAATTGCATATCAATGTTTATTACATCACTATTCATAATAGTCAAGTTCTAGAACCAACCTGGGCATCTATTCAAAAGAGAAGTATGTTAAACATGTAATATATATGCACAACAGAATTTTTTTAATCATAAAGAACAAAGTTATATCATTTACAGAAAAATGGATACAACTGGTGATAATCATACTAAGCAAATTAATTCAGTTTCAGAAAGACAAATATTGCATGCTTTCATTTGTAGTTCCTAGATTTCATATAAATATATAAAATCATGTATGTGCTTATGACACAAAAGTAGAAGCAAAATTCTATAGCAGCGGTTCTCAACGTGTGGATTGCAACCCCTTTAGGGGTCGAATGACCCTTTCACAGGGGTCGCCTAAGACCATCGGAAAACACAGATATTTACATTATGATTCATAACAGTAGCAAAATTACAGTTAGGAAGTAGCAATGAAAATAATTTTATGATTAGGGGATCACCACAACATGAGGAACTGTATTAAAGGGTCACCACAGCATTAGGAAGGTTGAGAACCATTGGTCTAGAGGAACAATATTAAATGCAGATGCAGGGAGGGGGGAAAGGGACTTGTGGAGGGCTATACTCAAAGTACAGTATATAGTTGTATGAGAAATGTCCTTATACAATCCAACGTCCTGTGTAATGAATATTCACCAATGGGAATGTTAATTGGGGATGCAAAGTTGTCCTCATCATCCCTCGTCCCCCCTGCTTTTCCTCAGCTGCCTATCCTCTCAAAACCAGACAGATCCTAGGGGATGATAGTTAAGAACTGCAAACCAAACAAAGCAGTTGCCCCAGTCAAAGCTGTAATGCCAGATGGGGTATGTTTTCTAAAAAAACAGACTAGTAGGACCTCACATATATAATATGCAGTTGTTGAATTTGCCATTGCATTCTCCTATCTCTTTTGGAAAGGTGAATAAGAAACTCATATTTGCAAAAGATGGGCAAAATTTAGTTTCTGTTTCCCAGAGTTCCTGTGGTGGTTTGAATAAGAATGGCTAACATAGGCTCATAGATTTGAATGCTTCTTCATCAGGGACTTCATCAAGCACTACTTGCTGGAGTAGGAAGGGCTTTGTTGGAGGAAGTATGTCACTGGGCGTGGGCTGTAAGGTTTCAAAGGCCCAAGCCAGTCCCAGTGTCTTCCTCTTCCTGCTTCCTGCTGATCTGGATGTGGAACTCTCAGTTACTTCTCCAGCACCATGTCCACCTGCATGTTGCCATGCTTCCTGCCTCTGAACCTGTAAGCAAGCCCCAATGAATTTTTTTTCTTTTATAACAGTTGCTGTGGACACGGTGTCTCTCTCTGTACAGCAATAGAACAGTGACTAAGACAGCTCCTCTTCTATGCCTCATATTATAGTGAGAAGGACCTGGAGTAACAGGACAATGTTTTTATTAATAATTAATTTTTTCCAGGCCCTATCACATTTTCCCCTCCCACCCTCCCACCCTTCCACCCTCCCTATTCCCATCCCTCCCTCCCTCCTCTCCCCCCATTCCTCTCCCAGCACCCCCCCCCCACTCCTCCTCCTTCCTCTTCAGAAAATGGCAAGCCTCCCATGCACATCAGCCAGCCATGGCATATCAAGTTGTAGTAAGACTAGGCACCTCCTCTCCTATTAAGGCTGGATGAGGCAACCCACTTGGAGGAAAGGGTCATAAAAGCAGCTAACAGAGTCAGAGACAGCCTACAGGACAATTTAAATGTGTTGTGTTTGTTCTTACTATTGATGATAAATCCCTCAGAAAATGCGAGCAAAATGTGATATACTGAAAGCCCTGATAAAAATATATTTGCTATAGGGCAGAGATATTTCCAATGAAGACACGGGTGCCACCCACCTAAGTTAAGACCTGAGGTATGTCATCTGGGACATACCAGACCATCTTTTCCAAAGCAAAGCAATCACTGTATCATGTACATTCATCTCTAAGTAGGAAGTACCAGGCCTGGTTTGCCTATTCAGGTTCTAGATGCAGCAATATAACCATTCAAAATTTTCTACTCTGTGAATAGCCTGAACATACCCATTTTTCTTATCTTATCCATTTTCCCCATTTGGCTATGATTTTTATATTTATGTGCATATATTCATTATATATTCAATGTAATGCTCTTTTCTTAATACTGTGTGTCCCAAATAGATTCTCCCAGTCTTTCAACTGTTTTTCCTACTAGCCTCTGGCATTTCTATTTCTATATACATAGTTCTAATTTCTAATGAGGTAAGACTTTTTTTTTCTTTAATTTGTATTTTGTCCAGTGTCTCAATTACTTCTCTATTGCTATGATAGACACCATGACCAAGGCAACTTACAGAAGAAAAAGTTTATTTGGAGCTTACAGCTCTAGAAAGATAACAGTCCATCACCATCATGGGGAACATGGCAACAGGTGCCAGAGCCTCAGGTGAATACTTACATCTGCATCCACATCTCCATTCACAGGAAGCAGAGAGAGAGCTAACTCAAAAGGACAGGAATCTTTTGACCCTCAAAGCCCAGCCCCAGTGACATACTCTCCCCTGGAAGGTCAAACCTCCTAATCCTCCCCCAACATCCACCAGGTATTCAAATGCAGGCACTTGTGGAGGTCATCTCCTTCACACCACTACATTTAGTTTAAGAGAAACCCTGCTTAGAGTTCATAAAGAAGCAATTCTATATGTTTTTTAAAAAAATGAAAGTTTTTTTTTCTTACTTTACTGTGGAATTGATCTTTGTGTGACATGTTAAGTAAAACCCAATTATATTTTTTTTCCTTCCCTTAGCTACCGAAATGTCATCTATTTGCCAAGTGGCTCCTTCTTCTCCAGTGAGTTAGAATGCCACTTTTGCCGTGTGTTGAACATCTGCACATACGTGTTTGTTCCCCCATGCTCAGTGCTGCTCCACAGCTCTCCTTGTCTCTAGTGGTGTCTGTATTACAGTGTTGGAACTCCTTTGCATTTTAAACCAGTCTTTATTTCAGGCAAAGCAAGTTTTGCATTACTTCCATTTGCTCAAGAATTTAATTGCATATTCATGACTCTCATTCCATAAGAATTTAAAGTAGACCAATTGAATACACAGGATTGGGATTTCGATTGACTCTGGATTGATTTTTTTTTAAAGAATATGGAATACTTCATGAATTTGCATGTCATCCTTGTACAGTGGCCATAATAATCTGTGTATCTGTCTAATTTTAGGATATGGTGCTGAAGCAAGCACTCTGCATAGAATTTCTGTATTAACTTAGGAAAGAATAACACCCTAGTGATGTTGAATTCTCAAATACACAGATATGGTATATTATCTTTCATTATTTGGTAGGGGTATCTTTCATTAGGTATATACTTTTATGGTTTAAAATTCTATTATTATAGGACAATTTCATGCACATATAGTGAGTTTTGATCATCTTCACCTCTTATCACCCTCCCCCTTCCTCACTGAAATCATCTCCCACTGAAATCCTTCTTCCCAAGACCTCTCTACCTTGATGTCTTTGTGTGTGTGTGACCCGCTGAGTTTAATTATGGTTGCTTGCATGATCATGAGTTGGGTTGTTTTGTTTTATGAGGATGGATCTCACACTAATCCAGGACTCACAATGTGGAGCAAGCTGGCGTGGAACTTGAACCTGTTACTTGAAGTGATTCTCCTTCCTGAGCTTCTCATGTGCTGGGATATGAGCCCACATAGCTGGCTCTTAACTATCTATCCTTAATAAATAAAGTCTTACATTTCCATTTATATTTTCTTGCTACTGTAATGGTTGCCTTTTTTTTTTTTTTTTTTTTTTTTTTTTTTTTTTTTTTTTTTTGGTTTTTCGAGACAGGGTTTCTCTGTGTAGCTTTGCGCCTTTCCTGGAACTCACTTGGTAGCCCAGGCTGGCCTCGAACTCACAGAGATCCGCCTGGCTCTGCCTCCCGAGTGCTGGGATTAAAGGCGTGCGCCACCACCGCCCGGCTTAATGGTTGCCTTTTTAAGGTGATGTTTTCTTATTTGGGTTGGTTATGAAAAATGTAATTATCAATTTTTTAAGTTTAGTATCTTAAACCTAAATTTGCTAATTATGACAATTTGAAGATTATATTATCTTGGATTTAATATAAAAGTCATTCAGAATGGTCCTTAAAAATGTTATGTATTTATAATTAATATTTTAATCAGAAAATGCAACTAGTTGTAAAATTAAAAAAAAACCACATTCCCCTCATCTTTATGTCCCCTTTTCCTCCAGTTTCTAAACATTTGCATAATTTTCTGATGCATTTCCTTAAGGACTTCTTTGTGATGATACAAGCAAATATTTTCTTTTTACTTTTTTCTATTTACAGAGATGTCAGGCTGTACAAGGAGTCATTATTTTCCTATCTTCCCGTAGTTGTCCTTGGGAAAATCCTGTTTTGAAAGTCTGTTGGTGCTAGAGCCATCTTTCTTAGATAAATGTAGCTACCGCCCCTCATCAAAGACACCTCTCTTTACAACAGAGATCATCACAGGGAAACGCAGCGGGACACAATGCAGAGATCAACAGATACATCTACATCGCAGCTCCTGCATCTATGGCTCAGAGGACATGGAGGAAGAGAAGCCAAAAAGAGACTGTTAAGAGCCAGAGTACCCGAAGTCAGCTGTGAAACAGTTCCTCCTAGGAATGGCTGCATACACAAGACGGGAACAATAGACATGTTAACTTTCAAGGGGGGTAAAATTTCACAGGGTGCCACCCCTAACCAAAGAACCACAGGCAATTATTGACTGCTGGGAAGTGGAGAATTAGTCTATCCCAGAGATGAGCCCCCTTATTGATTGTCCAATACAGAATGGTCAGCCTTGAAATCATATATACACACACAACAAAAAAACCGACTTAGCAGGTTGAGTTTATATATATATAATGTGTGTGTATAATATTAAATAATTACTATATAATAATATAATGTATTATTTATAATGTGTGCATGCACATACCTATACACATTTATGAATGTAACAATAATAAAAGGCTATCAACTTGAGAGTGGGAGGGGATGGGAGGGTTACTTGGAAAGAACTGGAGGGAGGAAAGGGAGGAGAGAAAGTGATGTAATTCTACTTCAGTTAAAAAATATATATTTTTTTTTTTTTTTTCAATTTTTTTTTTCCGGAAGCAACCACGAACAGGAGGGAGAAGAGGGGAAGGCGAACCATAGAGTGTCGCTGTTGCCTAGAGAGGCCGGAAGTGCCCCGTGCCCCGCCCCCCAGGGTCGGACTTTCGGACACTTTTGTGACTGCGGGGTGCTGCGCGGTGCTGCGATCGCGGGTGGGTTTGGGTCTCGTCTCGCTACGGTCCTACCGCGGGCCCGGCTGCTTGTGGGTGGTGAGGGTGGGACAGAACACCTTCCTCCGCGGCCTAGCGGCGCCGGGAAAACAAACTCGGTGGCCACCTGGGCCGAGCGCCCGACAGGGCCTCCGGCGCCTCGCCTCGGGCCGGTTCCGGGTGTCTGGTCAGTCTCAGGGCCTTTGGAGATGGGATTCTTGGGTCACATACTTAAGCTTTGAAAATGGGAGACGGCACAGTTTTGCTTTTCCTGGAGACAAGGTCAGTTCCAAGGTCTTTATTCTGGGGTACTGGAAAAGAGCCAGAACTTTGGAGTCGGGTTGCCTAGTGGATTCTGGCCTCTGCTACTTTGTGACTTTCTCCCAATCCCTTAACCTTTCTGTGTTTTGCTATTTTAGGGGATAACGATATCGCCTAACTTACTGGATTGTCGTGAGGAGTAAATGGCTTCATTTGTGCAAGGTGCTTAAAATAGTACCAGGCACGGGGTAATCTGCACAGTGTAAAGATGCTTTTATTATTACTGTTGCTGTTTCTAACTAGGACAGCACTTTCTCTTCAGTGGCTAGCCCTGGTACTGGCTGTTGTCTTTTGAATTTTAGTGCTGTTTACCAGTTCTCTTTGTAATGGATAATTTCTGTATTTTAGGAGGGAAAATAAAACGTTCTGGAGAAGAGCCTGTCCTAAAGGAAAAATTAAAAGTGGTTTGTGTAGTGTGTTGTGGTGCTCGGACTCACAGAGTTTTAAAATCTTGGGGATACCTTTTTTTAGGGGGAGGAGGAGCTTGAGAAACAGGAGGAGCAGCAAGAGGTATCTTAACAGTGAAGAAGCATAAGGACCCTGGTGTGAGCTGACATTGCTGTTTTGCTTGGTGCTTCGACCTGCCAGCTTTCTGACCCTCAGCAAGAATCCTCACCTGCATAAGGATCGCATGGATGGATGATAGATATGATTGATAGGTAGATAGGTAGATTGGTGGTAGATTTAGAGATATGTAGATCTGACACTGAGTCACACTAACATCCTTTGTTCTTTTTACAGGTTTTCAAGGCTAATATTGACCATATATAGTTTACCATTGTCCTTGAATTGACATCTCTTGCAATCTTTGATAATCCTTTCATCTGCCTCCTTTTTCTTGGAGAATTTGGAGTTTTTAACATTCTCAGGACCTACAGGGATCCCTGTAGCATTCTTTTTTCTATTTGTAACTTAACAAAAGACTAAAGACCATGTCTTTGGTTTGCTTATTTGACAAACGCAGTCCTGATTCTTTACCCTTGTATGCTGCCCAGTTGGGCTGAGACTCCAGGTAGGACAAGTGATGAAACATGAGTGGTTGAAAATGACTTTTAAGAATATACCAATGTTCATTTTCCTCCCTACACCCACCCCCTTTAATCTCGGGTTTACCCTTACCTCCCTTGACCCCACTGAAATGCTTTGGACTGTATTTAGGAAAGAAAAGACAGGATTTTGTGTAATATTTAAGATTATATTGGGAAAGGTTTAAATGCAGGTCAGAGAAAAACTTCAACTCAACTGCAGTAGTCAGCCCATCAGCAGCAGTCATTTTGAGTCATTTTCACGTGTGGTTTTCCTGCCTCTCCCTCTCCTTCACTTTCCTCTCTCCCCATCTGTCCTTCCCTACCTCCCTTCCCCTCCTCTTCCTCCCTTCTTTTCTTTCTTTCATTCATTTTACAGCAAACTGGAGGCCAAGACATCCTAACATTTATCTGCAAGCATGTCAGTGCTGAGATAGGAACTTTAATTTAGCCGCACTGTCACAATAAACAGAATTGACGGCAGCTCTTTAATCCTGTGTTCATGTTTTCCTGATTGACCCACAGATGTCTTTTTACAGTCTGGGGATGTTGTTTAAACTGCATGGTGTGTATTGAATTGCTGTCTCTTGTGATCTACAATAGTCTTGCCTTCCCTTTGCTTCCTGTTTAAAACTCCATTTATTTATGGGAGAATGTGCATTTTCATTATTCTCGCATCAATTGCTTTATTCTACTGATACTTAAAAACAACCCTTTATCTTTAGCTTCTTAGTTCTCGCACTTGGCTGCACTTTGGATCACACCAGTAGGTTGTCAAATACGGAGGCCTGTGGCCCACCCCAGCAGCTTGTCCAGTTGACCTTGGCTTCCCAACTGTCAGGAGGCTTTAAAAGCTTCCCAGTGATTCTCTTATGTAGCATAGCTTTACTTTTTTTTTTTTTTTTTTTTTTTTTTACCTGTACTTGAGTTCTTGGATCTAGAGTTGTGATTAAATTTAGGTCTGCTTACTTGAGAAAAAAATTAGGAGTATCCCAGATCTCTTGTGACAGCTAATAAGGAGGAAGTATTTTCTAACAGTTTATGTAATATTCATCCAGGTGTGATGGTTCACACCAGTAATCTCAGCTCTTGGGAAGTGGAGTCAGAAAGATTGCCATGAGTTCAAGACAGCTTGGGCTATGTGGTAAACTCAAGGCCATCCTGGACTGGGGTGAGACTCTGCCTTATAAAACCAAAAGAAAAAAGCACAATTAAGTCAAGGTTACTTAACTTCCATCTGTCATCTGTGCTGTCCCTTGAACTGTAGGAAGTTGGAATGAGAAATTCAAATGGGCACAGACTTGGAAATATCTTTTCCCTTAGTAACTCTCCCAGCCTTATTCATTCTGATCTCCTTCTTCCAATGGGTAAAGAGGAGTGCACTGACATCTCGGTGTACTCAGAGAACTTTGCAGGCAGTTCTAGCTTAAAATCTCAATCCTTCTGATTCCAAGGAATCAGGTCTTCCATCCCTTTTAGGAAGCCCAGGTCTCAGTTCTGAGAAGCTGTGAAAAACTGAGACTGGTTAATATGTGGCATTTCCAAGTCATGCAGCTGATAGTGGTGGAAGAAGGGCTTCCATAAGTGTCTTATTTCACTGCCCATGTTCTAACTCAGGTGGGATACTCAGGCAACCTTCTTTGGCATAGGTTATGCCCACTTCAGCTCCCTTGTGAGGCACATTGGACAGCCACTGAATGCTCATTTAACACAGCTTTTGAGATTCCACAGTGAAGGAAAAGGAGGGGTACCTTTTTTTTACTCATTCTGCATGGGTCAGATATCTCCAGCACATCCGCTCATCCATCTGCTGTCTGTTGTCCAACCATGGGAAACAAGCATGCCTGCCTGTGTGCTGTGGAGGCAGCCTTTGTCCTTACCTTCTTAACCAGTCGACTACCTCCTCTGGTTTCTAAGTTTCCTGTAAGTTTAGAACACGGAGATGAGTCAGCATGTTTTTTAGTTTTGAAGTTTACAGTATGTGTGTGTGTGTTGTATGTTTATGTTCAAATGTGTGTGCGTTTTATATACTGGTACACATGTGTACACATGGAAGCCAGAGATCAGTATTGAATGTCTTCCTCTATTGCTCTCCACCTTTATTTTTATTTATCTATGTTTCTGAGACAGGTCTCTCACTGAACCTAGAGCTCACCAATTAGGCAAGAGTTAGCCATCAAATCTAGGGATCCTGGAGTCTCTAGCTCCCCACTGTGAGAATTACAGGTCCGCTCTCAATTTCTCTCTTCAGAGGTATGAGGTGTTCAGATCCATTTACAGAATGTCCTTTGGAAAGCTTATTGTAGGGTTCAGATTTCCTAATTACTCTGGCAAAGTACCTAACAATATAACTTAAAGAAGGGTTATTTGAAGATACTGTCTACCATAGAGGGGAAGTCAGAGGCAGAAGGCTGGGGTGGCTGGTCACATTATGTCTGTAATCAGGAAGCTCTACTTTGTACTTTTTATTAGGTCTAGGACCTTACTTAGCCCATGGAATGGTACTACCTATATACACAGTGAGTTTTCTTACCTTAGTTAAAGCTCTCTAAAAATGCCCTCACAGAGTCTAAGTGATTCTAAACCCTGTCACGTTATCAAGATTAACTTGTGATCATTAAGACATCACTTAGATCATAACGTATTAACCCTGGCCCCTATAGTCACATTCATCTCATAATGTAAAATGTGTTTTTGTCTGTCTCCAAATGTTCATATAGTATTTAGCAGTCCCAACACTATGTAAGTGCAGAGTCTTCTCTGCAACTCAGGCAATCTCTTAACTGCGAGCTCCTGTAAAATAATACAAGTAGTATGCTTCTAATGTACACTGGTACACAGTAAACATTCCTATTCCAAACATGAGGAATGGGAGCATGGCAGGGAGAGATTGGACTAAAGCAAGACTGAAACTCAGGAGGAAAACACCAAGTCCTACACGTCTGGGGCTCCTGATGGGATCATGGGCTTAACAGCTATGGGCAGCTCTAGCTCTCCACTCTAATGTCTACAGCACATGTGACCTCTCTGTTCCAGCTCTACTCTGTGCCTTGGCTTTTCTCAGCAGATGGCCCATGATCCTGGCATCTCCTGTATTTTGGAATCTCTATTGCCATTTAGGCTCTAAATCCCCAGCTTCATGCAATGGTCTTCTTACGGGAAGTCTGACCACCTCACAGCCTCGTCGGAGGGTCTTTCTGGAATTGTGCAAGCCTCCGTGACCCCCTTTTATACCTTTCATGCTTGCAAAACCAGTACTACGTAGATGATTCTTTCAAGTATTGCTTGCTTGAAATGTAGCTTGATTCCTTTATACCATTGTTGTAGTGGTCTCCCTGTGCCTCTAAGGCTAGTGGGGGAGGGGGACAGCATATATCCATAAGGCAGCCATTTTGACTCAGTAAACTCTTGTGATGTTCTCAGTTTAGGTTCTCCCTTTTAAATGAATTTCACAAGTTAGGATTTGGAATGGAGTGGATGGATGGGGTCTTGCTCTCAGAGAGCTTTCCCTATTTTCCAGATGTAGAAAACAGGATTTATCTTTCAATTATGATGTGTGTGACAATTACAGAAGCTCTGCCTGTCTACACCATTATTTCATTACACTAGAACACACTCCTTTCCGGAAGAAACCACATTTTTCAAATATGTTTGGTTTCTCTGCTTATTGATTTGAATAAGAGCAGTGAATACTAGTCATGCCATGGCCTAAATCCTCTCCTGTTTGTAAATTTTTTCTGCCAAATAAATTAGTCTGATATATTTTTAATGCAGTCTTAAGTTCTCATGACATGGACTGAATGCAGCCAGATTCTTTGCCAGGATGTAAATGTAAACAGATTCTATTCCCGTTCCTGAAAAGGTCTGTATTCCACTCTGAAACCCCATCAGCTAGGCTTCCACTGCTTACATGTTTCTGGCATTCTGGAATTACCAAATCTTACCAGAATGGCCTACTAAACTTTACTTCCATCCATCTAGGGCATTAGCCTACAGCTCCAAACTCTGGCCTTCCTCTCCATAAACCAGTCCATAGATAAGAAACACACGGTCAAGTGTGTCACAGCAGCGGCCTCTCTTCTCGGGTCTAGTCATGTCGGGTACTTTGTCGCTGCCATGACAAAGCCCTCAACAGGAGCAAGCCTAGCAAGGGCTTCTCTTGGTTGGCAGTTTGACCGCGCAGTTCAACATGGCGGCAGCGACTCGCGTTCTGACTGTAGTCGGGCAGCAGAGATGAATGCTGCTGTTCCACGGGCGCTCTCCTTTCTGTGTGGGACCGGAGCCCGTGGAATGAGGCCACCCACGGTCACGGTGGATCTTCTGACTTAAGTTTAGCCTCTCCAGAACACCCTCACGGATATTCGTAGTTGATTCTAAGTCCCCCGAAATGGTACAGAATGAAAAGCTACAGAGGCGTTTGAACAAAAGGATCTCCTCAGTTGTTCCATGGCAGCTTCCCCGGGGTCCTGGGCATAGGAGGAGGGGAGCATTTGCAGCTACAAGTGGCTCATAGTCATCCCACCTCTCAGTAGTCTTTTGCAGAAATACAACTCAGAGCTACAGTGAAACGGAAGAACGACTTGGCCCGGGATGGCTAGAGAATCAAGGGAAAGCACAACCCTGGACTCGCACTCTGCAGAGGACCAGATGGAGTTACTGGTCATAAAGGTGGAACAGGAAGAGGCCTCCCCCTTGGCAGAGGAGGCCAGTTGGCTGGGCAGCCCTGGGCCCGACCGCTCCCGCCAGCGCTTCCGCGCTTTCCGCTACCCCGAGGCCGCTGGGCCCCGGCAGGCGCTGAGCCGGCTCCGGGAGCTCTGCAGACAGTGGCTGCGGCCAGATATGCACAGCAAGGAGCAGATCCTGGAGCTGCTGGTGCTGGAGCAGTTCCTGACCATCCTGCCAGGGGAGCTGCAGGCCTGGGTGCGCGAGCAGCACCCCGACAGCGGGGAGGAGGTGGTGGCGCTGCTGGAGTACTTGGAGAGGCAGCTGGACGAGACACCTCCACAGGTAGAAGGAACAGGTTTAGGGTCTGAGCCCTATGCTCTGTGCCTTCCAGAAACCTCAAGCAAGATCCGAGGGAGGCATTGCTTAGAGCCCGAGAAGTCTCGGTCTGAACTGGGAACCTGAGGCAACCAGCGAAGTGACCTGGACCCCTCAGAATAGTTAAGAGCACAAAGGAAAGGATTGGGAAGAACGCAGTCCCAGTGAAGCTCGGGTAGAATGTGTTGAGCAGAGTGGTGACAGGTTAGCTATGCACTTCTTAGCTCCTGTGCTGAGTAAGACCCAAGGACAGGGTGGAGCAAGCGATGCTAGGCACAGACGACTTTGTAGGAGTTTTCTTGGCTTGTCAACGTGACCGCATCTTCAGTGCTGCGGAGCTTCTGCCACCTTGCTTTGTTGTTCTCGTTGACAGTGGAGGGAAAGTCCACAGTTTTCTTAGCATCTAGGAAGGTTTTTCCTATCCAAATTCATGGACTCCTGGTAGAAAATGGGCTGACTTTAACCTCTACCTTCTGGCCTATTTTAGGAGACAGTTTCCTCTCTGCTTCCCTTAGTGTTTTCATATTCAGGGGACACATGGCTTTCTAACCAGTGACCAAAGCCAAATTTCTGGACTTGGAATTATTGCCCAAGTTTTGTAACAGTGAAAAGTCACCACAGTCTCTGACCTTCATTCTGTGTAAAAGCTGTGGGAATGCTGAGCAGTGGAAGAGAACGGAACTTGGAAACTAACTTGATGATCTAGACGCAAACCTGCATAGGACAGTACATGCCACACCGTACTGTGTGGTTTCCCACACTGTGTAGACTAAACTAGAAACAGCACCCTCAGTGTTCTGATAAGACGTTAGCATGTAATGCATTTCTATCACCATTTTCCTAAATGGGTCATAAGTCCACATGCGTATGACAGAAAGCGTTGAATGGACTGTGGAAACATTGCCTCATCTGCCGTCTTAGTTTTGTCAGTTAGCTGAATGATTCTGGATAAGCTGTACCCTCATGAAGTTGTTTGTATTAAATGAGAACCAATTTGAGAATTTGGAGACACTGTCAAGCTGAAAGTACTTTGAAAATGTCTAATAAATAGATGGAAAATACAAATAAATGAATGACTTCTAGGTTCCAGATGATGACGATGGGCAGGAACTCCTTTGTTCCAAGGCGGTACTGTTGACATCAGCTCAGGGCTCAGAAAGTAGCCAGATGGAGCCCATGGAGCCTCTACTTAAGCAGGAGTCTTTGGGATCCCTGTCCTCAGAAGTCAGAGGTCAGTATTACTAAGCTTTATGTCTTTTTTCTTTTTGTGATGGTGCATGTGATGAAATCCAGGACCTCACACATGTTAATCAAGTTGCTTTCTCAATGAGCCATAGTCAGGGTTCCGAGAGCTTTTGTGTACCTTCAGAGAACAGCTTTGGATCCGGTGGCAATCAGGTATTTTGGAAAGGAAAATATTTTATAAACTTGTATTTGCATAAATTTATTAGTCAAGTTTTTAAACCTGGGTTCTACAATGTGAGGAGGCTGGCTGCTAGTGTGAGTCTCACCTAGAGGTCTTTGTTGTAGTCACCCAGGGGGGCCACTGTGGAGAAGATGGAGTGACAGCTCCCAGGCTCACTTCAGAGTTGCAGGTGAGCTAGAGCTGTTCCCCTCCTCAACATCCTTTACTCCTAGTGTTCTTTCTTCCCACTCCATCCCTGTCCCTATCCTCCATTCTCCACCCAGTTCCTGGTGGGGATGTGAATTTCCTTATCATCCCAAGATCTGTTTACTGTTAAACTTCCCGTAGCATGTTTGAGGTTTTGCCATTTGGGGGTGGAATGAGTGAGCCTGTGAGCTTGCAACCCAGACATTCCCTGTTCCATTTCTTTGGTGGACTTTTATTCTTTTAGGGGTTGCTGAAAATGGAAGATGTAGCCCCAGCCCTTTCCCCCAGATGGACAGAGCAGGATCCATGTCAGATGAACCTCTACAAAGACGAAATGCAGGAGAACTCCGGCAGCCTGGTTTCCCTAGGTAAGACTGATGGGTACTAATTTCTTCTCAGGCTTCTTGCTGTCTTTTCTATAATAGAACCTACTTCCCCTGTTAGGCTGTTAGAAGCTGTTGAGCCCATTATGTTTGAAATTATAGACACACTTTGAAAGCCTATTATTGACTAGCTCCTTAATGCTTGTAATCTTGATTCTTTGTCTTCTGTCAGTTAGGATTTCTATTTCTGTGACAAAACACAGTGACTAAAAGCAGCTTGGGGAAGAAAGGGTTTATTTCAGCTTACAGTTCCACATCAGAGTCCAGCATCAGAGTCAGGACATTAACTCAAAGCCGAAACCTGGAGGTAGAAACAGAAGCCACAGCAGGGTGCTGCTTACTGGCTTGCTTTTCATGGCTTATTCAGCCTGTTTTCTTGTATACTCCAGGACAACCTGCTCAGGAGAGGCACTGCCCTGAGCTAGGCCTTCCCACATTTCTAATTCATCAAGAAAATGCCCCACAGACTCACTTACAGACCAGTCTTCTAGAGGGATCATCTCAATTAAGATCCCTTCTTTCCAGATATGTCCAGGTTTGTGTCAAGTTAACAAAAACCAAGTAGCACACCCCCTGAGTGTTGTAGTCAAGATGAGTGGGATAAAGTAGATCCCATCCTAGTGTTGTTCTGGCTCAGAGGAGATGCTGTATAAAGATTGAGTACTGGGGCTGTGTATCTCAGAGGCAGAACACTTGCCTAGCATGTATGAGACCATAGCTTCAATGAACTGGAAAGAAAATCTTCCCTTCCCCTTCCTATTCCCATCCATGACTAGTGAAAAAGCTGAGGAGTCTCTCCACAAGAAATGGGTCATGGGGTCACAGTGTGAGAATTAGAAGCAACATTAGAGACCAGCTATAATAGGTCCTAGCCCTAGAGGCAAGGACACAGAAGGTTATCTGACTTGTCAAAGGTCACACAACACATTGGTGGCATGTTAGTGGCTCCAGTTTTGTCTCAGAGAGCTGATGCTCTATTCTGGTGTGCCTGCCACTGCCAGGGCACAGTTCACCATAACTCCCTTTGTCTTTATCACAGACAAATGTGGACACTGCAGAAATCTTTTCACTTGCCTTGTTTTCTGTTACTTCCTGTGCTCAGACCTTCTTGCATCTATTCTAGTTTGTTTTCTCTCGATAATAAATACAATATGCTATCATAAATACACTATGACCCAAACACTATGGCTCTTTGAAGGAATCAAGGGTTTATTCCCGTGACACAGTTGAGAGAAACGAGAGCAGGAAGCTCAGGGCAGGGACAGAAGCAGGGACCACTGAGAAGTGCCACAAACTGGCGTACTCCCTTGCTGTCTTTTAAATAAGAACTACCCGCCCAGGGAATGGTACCCTCCAGTGTGCTGGGCCTTCCCACATCAGTGATTAAACAAGAAAATGTCCTACAGCCTTGCCCACAGACCAGTCTGATGGAGGTGGTTCCTCAATTGAGATAACCTTTCAGATGTGACTCTAGTTTGTGTCAAGTTGACAAAAAGTAACCAGCACAAATTAGTTGACCCATGTCAACTTGACATACAAATACATCACTATTAAATCATAACCTTCCCTTTCTTGTTTATCCCCAAGATCTTACGTTAATATATAAAACAGTATAATTTTTAAAAATCTCTGTCTTTTTAAAAATCTCAACACTTTAAAATTCAGAGTCTTTAAAAAATATCCAGTCTCTTTAACTGTTGGTTCCTGTAAAATTAAGAACATGTTAAATGATTCTTTACTCCAAAAGGGAAGGACGGGGGGCATAAAAACAATCACTTAAGCAAAGCCAAAATCCAGCAGTGTAGCTTCAAATCTTGTAGCTCAGTATCCAAGATCTATGACTCACTAATGACTTTTTGGCCTCCAAAGGCTTGGTCAGCTCCACTTCTCTCCAATAGAGAAAATGCAGTATTTAGGTTTATGTCTGTGTTGCCTTTCTATTATTACAACTTAGAGGTTCCCATCCACCTCCACTGTGTATCCACCGAAGTCGTTAGTTCTCATTATTTTTCCTCTGTTCCCTCCACTCTTGGTTATACCCTTCTTCCAACAGCCCCGTTCCTGTCTTCATGTTTCCCTAGCTTTTCTGCTACCCTCCTTTTTGTCCCATCCTAAGTTCTGCATTTAAATGCTTGACCTTGGTGTCTATATAGACCTTGGTAGTTCATGTCTCCATTCATCACCATGCTCCTATGCAGGAGCACTTAATTAACAGTTGCTGGCATTTGTGTTTCAGATCAGGAGATGCAGACTAAGATTAGGGACTTACCTCCAGCTGAGGACTACACAGAACAAAAGCCTGAGCAGACACTGTGCTACTTGGGTGAAGAGACTGTTCAGATTCCTGCAGGTGCAGAAGCCAGTGAGCAGGAAGGCAAGTCACAGACAACACAGAAAAGTGCCACCGGAAACAGGCGGTTCTATTGCCGTGAATGTGGAAAGAGTTTTGCTCAGAGTTCAGGCCTAAGTAAACACAAAAGAATCCACACTGGATTGAAGCCCTATGAATGTGAGGAGTGTGGCAAAGCCTTCATTGGAAGCTCAGCTCTCATCATTCATCAGCGAGTTCACACTGGCGAGAAGCCATATGAGTGTGAAGAATGTGGCAAGGCCTTCAGTCACAGCTCAGACCTCATCAAGCACCAGAGAACCCACACTGGGGAGAAGCCCTACGAGTGTGATGACTGTGGGAAAACCTTCACCCAGAGCTGCAGCCTCCTTGAACATCACAGAATCCACACTGGAGAGAAGCCATACCAGTGCAATATGTGTCCCAAAGCCTTTAGGCGTAGCTCCCATCTCCTGAGACATCAGAGGACCCATACTGGGGATAAAGACTTTTTTGTTCCAGAACCTTACTGGGAAAGTCAGAGTAGGGTGGAAAGCCATTGGGAAAATATTGAAACTCCTGTGTCTTATCAATGCAATGATTGTGAGAGAAGTTTCAGTAGGATTACAAGCCTTATTGAACACCAGAAAGTGCACACTGGTGAGAAACCCTTTGAGTGCAAAACATGTGGAAAAGGCTTCACCCGACCTTCCTACCTCATTCAGCATCAGAGAAGACACACAGGGAAGAAAACTTCCGTCACAGTCACCCCTGCTGTACATTCCGAAGTTGGTGTTCAACTCTCATTGAACTGAAGCCCCATGAGCCCCTATTGACTGCAGAAGTCACAGGCTAGGGCTCTATTAATAATGCCCATCCTCAGATGTTAGGGATCTGGCTGAGACTCATTATCTTCTACATGCTAGGAGGTAACTAGAGAAAAACAAAAAATCTTATTTCATAGGCGGTTATGAGAAAGAGTTGTCTGCAAGAGTTCTCACCCATGGAATCAAATGGGCTTCCTGACTGGCAAATTGCCTTCCCTTGGCCTGCATCTCAGGTCTCCTGAGGGATGCTTATGCTTTGGGGGCGTTACTCTGACCCTTTGTTAGGCTAATGAGCCCTTCATAAGTGGTCAGACTTGGAAATCTTACGTCCTGCTTTGTGCCTTGTATACAGGTGCTAATTAATAAACATTTATTAAATATACTGGTGAGATTTCCTACATAGCTCTGAAAACCCATTATTATCTGGAAATTTTCACCAAGGCCATTTGTATATCTTTTAAAAAAAATGTTTTAGATTGAGTCAATGTAGTACTGCTTTGTTTTTGTTTTTGATTTTTGCCAAGTACCCTGACTTGGCAGGGGAGGGGTTAAGGTGAGGTTATTGTGCTAGAATCCTTTAATTCTTTACCTAATTTGGAATTCTGTGAGAGTGCCTTAAACAGCTTCCTTAGCATTAAGTCATTGTGAATGTGCCACCCATGGAATTCCACTAATATTTTTTTTCTGTTCATTTTGTTACTAGTGGGAGAAAAAACCAAACAAACAAAACTCCTTTCCTACTCATGTAGTGTGAAAAGCAGTTTCAGAATAAAGTGATCAATGTCTAAGGCTTAGCCTCTTGATTCTCACTTTGGTGGTTATCTGGGACCTAACCCAGAGCTCCGGCCTCCTCTCCTTATGTCATACCCACAGGCTCGACTGTGCTAAGGCAGTGGGTTATGTTACCAAGAGACAGAGGCAAGCAAAGCCCCTCAGGGCTGGGGAAAGTTCAAAAGTGCATGTGGTGCAGCAGGGCTACTCACAAGATCCAGTATGTGTGGAGCGAGAGTTCGCAGGAGCGTCACTGCTGGATAAACAGCATTTGGTCTCCTCAGTGCTCTGTTCCACACTGCTTCCTACAGGGAGAGGGATTCCACAAACCACACTACATGAGCAGTGACATTGGTCATCTGCTGTGTTCTTGTATGACTAGCTTCCCAAGGAAGAACTAGAATCAGACATCTGCCTGTCCTACAGTACTGCCGGGGAATTAACTATGTGAACATTCTCTAGCTTGGCTCTGTCTTTTACTTAAGAATATTTCAGTAGCCAGGCTTAATCCCAGCACTTGGGAGGCAGAGGCAGGTAGATTTCTGAGTTCTGATCTACAGAGCAAGTTCCAGGAAAGACAGGGCTACACAGAGAAACCCTGTCTCAAAAATAAATAAATAAAAATAAAGACAAAAAACAAACAAAACAAAAAAATAAGAACATATTACAATAGAGCACTTGTTTTTGTGGAGGATCCAAGTTCAATACTCAGTACCCACACGGTGTCTTGAAGCTATCCATAACCCATTTCCAGGGAATCCAACACCCTCTTCTGATCATTGAGGGCACTACTAAGCACACGGTACACAGACATACATATGAGCAAAACACTCATAAATAAATCTAAACATCTTTTTAAAAGAGTTTCAGGAACATGGTGTTTGATGTTCTACTTTTCTCAAAGATCATTCACCTCCAACATATTGAGAGTAAACTGCACGAAACCTACCCCTGCTAAGTCCATACTTCATCAGGCCAGTAAATTCACACCAAATCTTTAAACAAATCTTTAAAATAAGAATTGCGCCGGGTGGTGGTGGCACACACCTTTAATCCCAGCACTCGGGAGGCAGAGCCAGGCAGATCTCTGTGAGTTCGAGGCCAGCCTGGACTACCAAGTGAGTCCCAGGAAAGGCACAAAGCTACACAGAGAAACCCTGTCTCGAAAAACCAAAAAAAAAAAAAAAAAAAGAATTTTTTGCTTTGGAGTCCAGAACTCCAGTGTGAGTGCAAGTTTTGCTTTCTTACATGTTGATTCCAAATCACTTGTAACCAATGCCACTTAATTACCCAGGTGAGTACTTACCCTTTATGCTCACTCTCAGTAACTCCCCCTGGACACTGCAGATCAGCAGTTGGTTGGTTGGTTGGTTCATTTGGTTGTTTGTTTTTAATCATGGTAGAAATTTCAGGCTTGTCAATTGAAGTCAGTACTGTGAAAGTGTTTATTACATATATTTCAAATGGAGTTGCTTCTATAAAGGTCTTAGGACACCTGCTTTCTTGCAAACTTTTGTTAGTCTATCGCAGTGGTTCTCAGCCTTCCTAATGCTGTGACCCTTTAATACAGTTCCTCATGTTGTGAACCCCCAACCATAAAATTATTTCATTGATACTTAACTGTAATTTTGCTACTGTTACGAATTGTAATGTAAATATCTGAGATGCAAGATATCTGACATGTAATTCCCCAAGGGGGCTGTGACCCACAGGTTGAGAACCACAAGTCTATCACTTCTTAGGATAAAAATACTCTCATTACTATATCTAGTTATATTTTTCAATTGATTTCTGTCATCAGCAGGTTTCCATAGTTAGAGCAGCAATGTTGAGATTCTGAAGTTTGGATATAGCAAACGTTTCTAGTTTGATTTCATGATGATTTTGCTTATGTGATATATTCTCTCTCACCAAATGCATTTTTTTAAAACTAGGAATCGAGTTATTATCTAACTCCCTCAGAGACTTATCTAGATCTGTGTTTATGAGTTTCCACAGTTTGGTACATCAAGGTTTTCAGAAACCTACAGACACATGATTGACAAATCCTAATGTAAGTGGTTTGTGTTTCAATAATAAATAAATAATATTTAAACATAATAATGGTTAGTTTTATTTTAATTAATTTATTAAATTTGATAATATTTAAAAATAATAAATGATAAATAATAATAAACCACATTTTTATAGTGTGAGTTCTTAAATGTAAAAATACATGGCATGGTTTCTAAACTCTCTGAACATGTATTTTTCCTGCAGAAAATCAATACAATGTATGTGTGTGTTGGAGGGGGCATATCTTTAAGGAATTGGGTTGTGTGATTATGGACCTGCTTTCTGTAATCTGGAGGGAGACCAAAGGTGTAGGTTTCAGTTCAAAAGCCACATGGCTCCAGACTCAAGAACAACAATGTCCAGTTAGCATCCAAGGTCTAAGACAGCCAGTGTCAGGCTCAAGACATTGGCAAGAATGGTATCACTTTTCTAGGGAGAGTCAGCTTTTTTGTTCTCTCAGGCCCTTAACTGATTGGATGAGACCCCGGGTGGGGATCAGGCAGTGTATTTACTGAATTACCCATTCAAATGTTAATCTCCAAAACCACCTTCACAAGCACACTCAGAATGATGTCTGACCAAAATCTGTGGCCCAGAGGACACATGAAATTAACCCTCCTGGTGCTGCAGGTGAGTATTAGAGCATTCGAATTTTGCATCACACTGCCACATGTTTGGTATGTATTTCATATCCCAGACTGACCTCAACTTCTCTTTGAGCTAAGGATGGTCTTAAACTCCGGCTCCTCTTGCCTCCACGTCCCAGGTGCTGGGATCACAGGCGTGTATTAGCACAGCTGGCTGGCTCTGCACTCTTCTCTCTGTAATTCTTTCTGTTGGTAATGGAGCTGAGCAAGGTTGCTTGTAGTCTCTCTAGGTCAGAGCAGAAGGGGAGCAGTTTGAGGCTGAGATAAACGACTGTTCTACAAGCACCCAAAGTAGACTCAGATTCTAGAAGAGTTCCTGTTTAACTCACAAAATTGACTGCTTCTATTTTTCTTTTGATATAAAATACCCAGGCACTTAATGCTTAAGACTAAAGTGTTTCTATCCTGTTTTCAGAAATGAAAGTTCTCTATTTCCAAACAAATTGTGTCTTTAAAACCATCCTGTGACCTGACTGTGTTGGGACAGGTTAAAAGGAATCAAAGATGGACGAGAGCGTGAGAAGTAAATTTTCTTCCCTCTAACCGATTCATTTATGGTTTCATTTTCTTGTCCACCTAACGGGGAACTGACTACATGTATCATAGCTACCTGGCAACCAGCATTACCTGATGTGCCACACAGACTGGCATTTCACACAAGATGGCTTAAGCCCTGTAGTAACCTACCCTGAACAGAAGTTGATATTCGGAGCAACAGACCACTTCCCATTTGGCTTCCTGCCCACCAGGAGGCTTTCATGAGATAGATGCTTTCCCATATTGAGGACTGAGGCTCTGTACCTCATTAAAGGTGTAATTCCAAAGTTAGGAAAACTACTTATGTGCAGCATGACAACAAGAGCTTCTTAGCTACAGAATGGCACACACCATTATATAATGTATAATGTATATTGTCTTTTGGTGCCACCCTGCATGTGATGGTTGGCCTTGGATGCTGACTGTACTAAGAGATGCCTCTAACACCAAGGCTAAATCTTCATCCTTGTCGTCACTGCCGCCACCACTGCCATGTCCTCCTGGGAATGAGTACATACACACACAAAATAAAATAAAAATTCAAATAGAGAGATGCCTGGACTTGTGAAAGGTGTTTCTATCTGTGTATCTATGAGGGTGTTTCCAGATCTGAATAATTACATTACTTTCATTGCTGTGATAAAATACCATGACCAAAGGCAACTTAAGGAAGAGTTTTATTTTTTCCTTTCATTGAAAAAATTTTTTTTTCATACAATATATTCTGACTATGGTCTCCCCTCCCCTATTCCTTCCAGTTCTTCCCCACCTCCCTCCCATCCAGACCACTCCCTTTCTGTCTCCTTAAAAAACAAGCATCTAAAAAACAACAATAACAAGCATCTAGCCAGTGGTGGTGGTGGCACATGCCTTAAATCCCTGGAGGCAGAGGCAGGCAGATCTCTGTGAGTTCAAGGCCAGCCTGGTCTACAGAGTGAGTTTCAGGACAACTAGGGCTACACAGAGAAACCCTATCTCAAAAAAACAAAACAAAAACAATAAAATAAGATAAATAAAAAACCAAACAAATTGGAATATGACCAAACAAGAAAAAGAGCCAGGGGCTGGAGAGATGGCTCAGCGGTTAAGAGCACTGACTGCTGTTCCAGAGGACCTGAGTTCAATTCCCAGCAACCACATGGCAGCTCACATCTGTGACTCCAGTTCTAGTCCCATAAGCAAAACACCAATGTACACAAAATAAAAATATATTTAAAAAAAAGAAGAAGAAAAAGAGCCAAAGAAAAGGTCTAAGAAACACATATAGATGCAGAGGCACACATGCTCACACTCAGGAATCCCATAAAAACCCAGAATTGGAAGCACATAACATATATGAAAAAGGCCTACAAGGTAAGAAAAACAATACCCTCCCTGACTTAACATTATGTGACAAAGAACCTCAAAAGATGCTGTTGACTCAGTTTTATGTCGGCCATCTACTGCTGGACATGGGGGCTGCCCTTAGGAGTGGTTTGTTTCCCTAGTGAAACCCTCTTGGAGAAAACGAATTTTTCATTTGCAAATGGCCATCAATCGGAGCTAGCTTCTGGGTTATGGATAGGAGCATGTGTCCACTTCTCCTTTCAGCTCTAGGAACCCATGTGGTGCAGACCAGTGCAGCCCCTGTGCAGACTGCCATACTAGCCCTGTGGTGTCTAGAAGGCTTTGTTTTCTTGGTGTCCTCCATGCCCTCTGGCTCTTACACTGCTTCCTCGTCCATGGGATTCCCTGAATTGAAGCTTCCAAATAATGGGAGACAGAGCCCCAACTGGACA